CCTAAGCCCAGGAGTTGGAGGTTGCTGTGAGCTGTGACATCATAGCACTCTACTGAGGGCAATAAAGTGAGACTCTGTCTCAAAAAAAAAAAAAAAAGAAAAAAGAAAATATTTTTGTACAGCTGTAAATGTGTTTATGTTTCAGGATGAGTGTTATTACAAAGAAGTTAAAAACTTAAAAAAAATTAAATATATTAAGTAAAAAGTTATAGTTAAGGTTAATTTATTGTTGAAGAAAAAATTTTAATAAATTTAGTGTAGCCTAAGTGTCCAGTGTTTATAAAGTCTCCAGCAGTATACGGTACTGTCCTAGACCTTCACATTCACACACGACTCACTGATTCACCCAGAGCAATTTCCAACCCTGCAAGTTCCATTTATGATCAATAGCCTATGTGGGGCAGGGTGGTGCAATTTTTATCTTCTATCCCATATTTTTATGGTACCTTTTCTTTGTTTAGGTATGTTTACATACACAAATACATACCATTGTGTTCCAGTTGCCTACAGTATTCAGTACAGTAATATGCTGAACAGGTCTATAGTCTAAAAGCAAGAGGCTATTCCATATGGCCTAGTGTATATCAGTAAGCCGCTGATGTTCCTATGACAAAATCACCTAATGCTGCACTTCTAAGAATATATCCCTGTAGTTAAGCAATAAATAGATATTTTGAAACAGCTAGAAGAGAGGATTTTGAATGTTTTCATCACAAAGAAATAATAAAGATTTGAGGTAAACAGACATGCTAATTATCTTGATTTGATCATTACACAATTATATATATCCAAAATATCACTTTGTATGCCATAAATATGTACAATTATTATGTGTCAATTTAAAAAATTACTCAGCAATATATCTTTGTTGAAGAAATGTACAAGGCCTTATATGAATTAAAACTATAAAATTCTACTAAAGGATGTAAAAATCTGAATATATCTTTCTATAAGGGAAGATTCATTATTATAAACATACAAATACCCTCCAAATCAATCAATAAATTTAAAAGCAATCCAAGACTTTCAATAGGAATTTATTTTCGTGAACTTGACAAAATGATTCTCAAGTTTCTCCAAAGAGTAAATACCCAGGAAAAGCTGAGACTCATCTTAACAAATATTAACATATATCTTAAAGCTAGAGAAAATTATTAAAGCAGCATGATATCAAAGCTGGAACATATAGAAAGAAAAACAAACAGAAAGAAACTATCCAGGAACCTACTTGTGTATACATTGGAATATAGCAGGTGACATTTTCAAACAGTGAGAAAAAGAGACTTTTCAACAAATAGCTAAGTATTTAGAGAATAAAAATAAGGTTTCATGCTTGCTTCATGACACACAGAAAAATAACCTGTAGACAAATTAAAATTAAAAAATTTTAACTTCAGAAATTTTTATTAAAGAAGAAAATGTAAGACTATTTTTATATCTATAAGTAGCCAGGACCTTCTAAGTAAAATACTAACCACAGAAGTCAAACACATTTGACTAATAAAAAATTTTAAACTCAAGGCCAGGTGCAATGGCTCACATCTGTAATTTCAGCACTCTGAGAGGCTGAGGCAGTTGGATTGCTTGAGCTCACAAGTTCGAGACCAGCCTGAGCAAAAAGTGAAACCCCATCTCTACTAAAAACAGAAAAAACTGAGGCAAGAAGATAGCTTGGGCTCAAGAGTTTGAGGTTGCTGTGAGGTATGATGCCACAGCACTCTACCCAGGGCGATAGTGAGACTCTATCTCAAAAACAAAAACAAAAACAAAAACAAAATTTAACTCCATCAGTGCGGTTGCTCATACCTGTGATCCCAGCACTTTGGGAAGTCAAGAAGGCAGGATCACTTGAGGACTAGCCTTGGCAACAAAGTGAGACTCATCTGTACAAAAAGAAAAGACTAGCAAGGTGTAGTGTTATGCATCTATAGTCCCAGGTACTTGGTAGGTTAAGCTGGGAAGATCTCTTGAGCCCAGGAGTTAAAGGTTACTCTGAGTTACAATTGCCCCACTATAATCCAGCCTGGGTGACAAAGTGAGACCTTGATTCTAAAAAATAAATTTAACTCCACCATGAATGGAGTTAACCATGAATACTATAAAAAGACAAGCAATAAACTAAGAGAAAATATACTCAATAGTTTTGAAAACTGCATTAAATTTTAGTATGGAATATGTAATCATATTATCTATATTTGACTACTGTGGCTTAAGTTCTTCTCTCCTCCTCTTCTCTGCCTCTCCCTTCTTCCTTCCCTCTTCCCTCCTTCATCAGTTTCTCATCTTTTTGTTGTTATTTATCTATATCTATTATCTCTCAATAGATCCTTGGGTTGCTTCCACCTTTTGGCTACTTTAAAGAATGCAGCTATGGACATACAAATATTGTTTGTTTGTACTTTTGTGTGTGTGTGGGGAAAATGATTATTTTTAAACGGAAAGGATAATATTAACAAAATTTTAAAAAAAAAAAAACAGTACAAGCAAGTATAAAAAGAAAAATCTGGCTTGGCGCCTATAGCTCAACCGGCTAAGGCACCAGCCACGTACACCTAAGGTGGCAGGTTCGAATCCCCAGCCCGGACCCGCCAAACAATGATGGCTGCAACCAAAAAATAGCCGGGCGTTGTGGCGGGCGCCTGTGGTCCCAGCTACTTGGGAGGCGGAGGCAAGAGACTCGCTTGAGCCCAGGAGTTGGAGGTTGCTGTGAGCTGTAATGCCACGGCACTCTACCCAGGGGGACAGCTTGAGGCTCTGTCTCAAAAAAAAAAAAAAAAAAAAAAAGAAAAATCTTCTCACTCTATCTCCCTAGCTCCCTTCCCTGTTTTAGAGGTAAGAGCTATATTCTATTCATGAAATATAGAATCAGAAATACTCTATTCATATGTATATATATATATATTCCACTTTCCTTTTTTCCCCCACTTAACAATTAATGTGTCTTGCAAATTATTCCATTTCAGCACATACAAGTAAGTTCTACCTCTCTGTTTTGCCTTGATACAAAGTATTTATTTAGCTAATCCACTACTGATAAATATGTTGTTAAAATCTTTGTACAAATTATGTTGCAATGAACATACTTGCTCCACTATCTTTGTCCATGTGAGTATGAAAAACTCATAGAATAGTTGAGACAACGTAAATACATATTGAAGGTTGTAACAGTTATTGACAAACTGCCTGTCTCAGCAATAGTGTTTAGGAATGCCTTATCACTACTCTTGAGCAGGTTCTGAGCCTCAGTTTCTTCACCTTAAAACGGGTAATCTCTAGCCACTGGCCTTTCTCTTCCATGACTGTGCCAAATTCATTCCCACCTGAAAACGTTTGTACTTGCCAATCCCTCTGTCTTAAGAACTCTATTACAATAGATTTCCACTAATGTGGCTCCTTTTTTAACCTTTACATCTCAGCTCAGATGTTACCTCCTCAAAGATGATCCAACCATTCTATACCTAAAGCAGACCTTTAGGCAGTAACTCTCACCATTCATAATTTTATTTTTTCTTCTTACTCATAACTATCTGAAATTCTTATTTGTTTGTTCTTTTTCTCTCTTTCTCTCTGGTCCTACTGACCATGCCAGTTTTGTTAATTAGCATCTACAGTAGTGCTTGATACATAAAGTATGCACTTTATAAATATCTGAGTGACTCAATGTTTTATTACTGATTACACAACTTTTTTACCTTTTCAAACATAATTTTATTTTTAACAAATAAATTTAATAGCTTAATCAAAATGTGCTGACGTACACATGCATATACATGTATGTGTGTACAAACCAATACAATCACACAGTGCTATATTTGTGTAAAGAGAAGCAATGGAGGTGGGGCGCCTCTTTCATCCTCCCCACCCTAGACTGCTCTTTCTGGACAGGCAGCCATTGATTACACAACTATTACTTAAGATTTTTAATTCTAAAATATATACTCATTACAAAAAACAAATCAAGTAATTTATAAATATATGAAGCACACCATAACCATTTTTCTTCTCCCTACCTAACCCCTCAGCTCCACGAGGTAACAAAAATTTTGTGTTTGTTTTGTATACTTAAAAAAAATTGTGCACATATGAATAAATAGATAGCTCTGTGTGTATATACATGCTATGTTGTTTGCACTCATAGTATGCAAGGTATTTTTTTTTCCCTGTAATTTAAATTTTTCTTTTTCTACTTTTTTTTTTTTTTTTTTGAGACAGAATCTCATTATGTCACCCTCGGTAGAGTGCCATGGCACCACAGCTCACAGCAACCTCAAACTCTTGAGCTTAAGGAGTCTCTTGCCTCAGCCTGCCAAGTAGCTGGGACTATATATAGGTACCTGCCACAAAGCCTGGCTATTTTTTTTTTTTAAGTTTTTGGCCAGGGTTGGGTTTGAACCTGCCACCTCTGATATATGGAGCTGGCGCCCTACTCCTTTGAGCCACAGGTGCTGCCCAAGCTCAGCTATTTTTTTTTTTGTTTTTGTTGTCATTGCTGTTTGGCAGGTCCAGGCCGGGTTTGAACCTGCCAGCCCCGGTGTATGTGGCCCTCGCCCTAACTGCTGAGCTCAACAATATATCAGGAATATCCTTCTATGTCAATACACAAAGCTTTAATATACTTTAAAAAACCAAGTCACATATTCTCGTTAAAAACCTCCAACAGTTTTGCAAACCACTTGGAAAAATAACCTAAAATCTTACCAAGCTCTATAAGGCTTTATATGGCCTGGTTCCCAGCTCCCTCTCCAACACTGAGGACTCTCCAACTCCTTCACTCAATTCTTTCTGCTCTTATTTAAGGACATCAAGCAGCTCCAGGTTTAGGAAATTTTCACTTACTGTTCCCTCAGTCTAAACACTTGTTCCTTGGTCAGCCCTATGATCTAAATACTCATTTACACAGAGAGGAGTCCCTATCACTCTACATTCTCTTATCATGCTTCATATATCCTCATTCCATTCATCACCACCCGATGTATCATACAATTATGTTTTAGTACATCTCTTCCACTATAATGTAAGTTCTATGACAGCAAGGACTTTAAACAATATTCTTTTGTGGGCGGCACCTGTGGCTCAGTGAGTAGGGTGCCAGCCCCATATACTGAGGGTGGCAGGTTCAAACCGGCTTTGGCTGAACTGCAACAAAAAAATAGCTGGGCATTGTGGCAGGCGCCTGTAGTTCCAGCTACTTGGGAGGCTGAGGCAAGAGAATCGCCTAAGCCCA